GTTCACATCACTTTCCCACTTTTCGCTACCGAAGTCAATTCCCCAGCCTCCTCCTCCACACACCCACTGCCCACCTCTGTGGCCCCCACCCAGTGCCTGCCCTAACTAACCCTCTTCTCTTTCTCTGAGTTGGTCTCCTCAACTGGGCTGTTCATTTGAAGCAAGAATCTTCCAGTCCCTGTGAGCTCAGGCAATGAAATCCTCATTAAGCCTAATAAGAGATAACTGGTCCATTTAGCACAAATTGTCTCCCCAAGTTGGAGTTGGAATATGAAGCACTGAAAAGGGAAGGTGGAAAATGAGTGGGAAGGAATAGCTTGCCATTGCTCCAGGCAGCACAGGAACGCTGAAGGAGTCTTTGCCAAGGTCATGGCTTCGGAGCCCCTGCCTCAAGCAACCTCAACCTGACTGAGCCATATCTCCCTAAATACTATGGTCATGCCTCCTCAGAGATAGTTTCCTCGAGTGTCTAGCCTCTACGGCAGGCTTGCTCCCTCCGATCCTCTGACAACCCCCACCCCCACCCCACCCCATCCAGAGGCCTGACTGCCTCTGCATACCTCGCAGGAGACCTCTGAGGAGGGGTAGGGCCCTGGGGCTGCTGCAGCTCTTCCTGCCCCCCACCCCTTACAGTAAGGATTCCAGACCCCCTTGCCATGAAGGCTGTCCTCTGTCCGATACTTGCTCCTGTACATCTCAAAAGCTGGGTATCTTAAGGAAAAGAAGAACAAGAGGAAAGGAACTGGAGAGAGTATACGTCCTGACACCGGACCGACCTGCTATTCCCTGAGCTGTGAGACTCCAAAGTAGAAAAGGCATTAGGGAAAGCCCCCTTTGCTGGGAGGGGTGCGTGCCTTCGGCTCTGGGCCCAAGGCTCTACTGCGGGAAGGGCAAGGTGACCCCTGGGGCCCAGGGTTTCCCCTGTGGTGACAATTATTTTCCAGGCTGAAAATCAGGATCTTGGCCTTTCTCTTTTGTGTCTCTAGTAAGCAGCGGGATGGCAATCTGACGCCCCCTCTAGGGGAAAGAGGACAATTTATAGGATAGTTCTGCTGTTGTTAGCCCTCATTGAGACAAAGAATTCATTTCCGTCTCTCGGGGTGGCTTCTCCTGCTGAGGGCCATAAATTGCCTTCCTGCTTATTCTCTGACCTCTTGCTCTTTTAGCTTTTGTACTCAAAAATTATTAATACTTGTCTTAACTCCATATCTAACCTTCGGCTGCAACCCCCTTTTCTCTGGGTGAAGCCAGGTCCTTCAGGATTGTTGCCTCTGCCCCCCATGTCCGCAGGCCTCTTAGACATGCAGACAGCCATGAGCACAGAAGAAGACACATCCAGCAGCAGCAGCAGGATTCCCCAGGCCGCTCTGGGGAGCTCCCACACCTACATTAACCACATTTAGCATTCACTATCTGGGGTGCGCACCTGTGGTGCTCTTAACACTGTTCTAAGGGCGGTGTGGCTACTGACCCATTTACTCTTCACCACCACCCCAGAAGGTAAATACCGTATCATCTGTGACTTCAAATGAAGAAACTCAGGATTTGAGAAGCTGAGTAAAGAAACTGCCCGAGGTAGCACGAAAGGAAAGGCAGACCGAGATTAGTCTCTCCCCATGCTGTTCTCTGTGATCCCTGTGCTTGGCTTTCAACCCCTGATTGCTGCTCTGGTGGTGAGGGGGACTTCTCCGCCTCTTCCCTGTCTTCAGAGAGCCCAGACAGAGGGGACAGGTATAGCCCTTGCCCCCAAGGAGCTCCGAGTTTGATAAGGGAAGTGAATACTCCAGGGGTGGAAGGGGGTGGATTTCTAGTCTAATGGAAAGACACAGGCGCTGCCTTCTGGAACATCCCTCTGATACTAGGGACCCAGCCTCTGATACCCCCAGTTGAATGAGCTATGTGATTACACTCCAGTAGACCATGTAATCCAACTGGAGTTTTGATCAAAAGGGAGGGTGTTTCATTGGGGTTCTCCCCAGAAGGAGAGGAAAGGGAGGCAAAGTTAGCAATGAGCAGACTGCAGGTAGAGGCAAGAGGCAAGTGCCCTTGTACTGTGTGGCCAACCGAGGGGCATGCTTAGAAGCAAGGACTGCCTGGCACCGCGGGCCTCAACCCTGCAGCCCACTCGAGTCACACTGGGGACAGGTGTAGAAGTAGTGACCCTTGAGACTGCCCCAAGAACAGTTATCTTAGGGAATGGGATCAAAGCACTAGGACTGTTGCCAGGTCACTAATTGGAGTGGGGGTCTTAATTCCTGGGGTCTGGTTGTTGTGTGGCTATGTGGAGGGGAAGCTGAAGCATGCTTGCTGTGAACTGAGCTGATCAGGATTTGAGATTAAAGGGAGTGGAGAGGAGAGTTAAAGGATGGTTGAAAGAGGTAAAATTACTACCGTAGCTGTTAAAGAGCTGGAAAAATTTGGTTCCTCAATGCTAAGGTTTCCAGGTATGATAAAAGGCCCACAGGGAAGCCTGGAGAGAAAAGGCTTTGATAACCCCACCCCACCTCACACTAAGACTCACCGTCAAACCTGAATACCAGAAGCTGGAAGATGGGAAAGAAGCACCAGATTAAGCATATTCTCTTCATTTACTTCTGGACCTTTTCTTATTAACATTTTCCTAAATTCCTGTCACCAGGGCCTCCCTTCCCATGGCCCTTCACACAGAGAGAAAACAAAGAAAGGCTATTTCATTGATATTCCAATAACACCCCTATCTCAGGTCCTTTGCACATGTGGTTACCACCTACCTGCTACATTCAACCCCCAGATGTCTGAAGAAACCTAAGTTCCTTCAGTTCTCTGCTTAAGTATTGCTTTAGCACCAATGTTTTCCCTGACTACCTATAGAATAGAAATTCCTCCCTCCTTTCAATTCCCTATTCATGTTATCCTTTTTCATTTGTCTCCCAGAGTATTTACTACAGTCTGGTATGTTTTATATTTTTCTCCTGCCTCTTCTACCCCTCCCCAATGGAACATTATGAGGGAGGGACTTTGTCAATTTTTTTTTCATTGATGCATCTCCAAGACCTGGAATTGTTGCTGGAACATAAGCAGACACTAAAGAAATACCTGTAGAATGTGATCATTGACTGTGTAAATGAGAAGAGTGTGTGACTGCATGTATTTGTGCTTTTATTCCTCTTTCCCTGGGGTAGGTATGTCTCTTTATTTTTTTTTATTATTTTTTATTTATTCATACAGAACTGGGGTACAAGTCAGAGATGCGGAGGGTGAGAGATTCACCAGCGACAGAGTGGGGAGCAGAACAGGCAGATTGACGAAGTACACTGCTGAGGGGAGCAGCGGGCGGGTCAGGAGAGGTCTGCCACACCATGTGGTTACCTCCTGGGCAGGCGGGAATCGAACTCATGCAGAAGTGGCTTTTAGCTTCTTAGTGTGGTGCTTTAACCCACTGCACCACCAGGGAGGGCCTGTCTCTTTATTTTTAAACTGTGTTTACCTGTGCGTATGTTTTCCTGACCATATGAAGGATTCTCTGGGTCCATGCATAATGTGCTTCTGATTCTGACCTTGTGTATTTTTCTGTCTGTGCTTCTGTGTCCTGATGTGTGTGCATGTATCTGGACTATCTGCATGTATTCTGCCTATGGTGGGGATGGAAGAAGAAAAAGGAGTTGTGGCCACCTCACATCAGCAGAGGGCACCCAAGAGTCATGTGCTTCTGCTCTGGGGCTGAAATGGAGAAATCTTGGCGCCTAGTGTTTAGGAAACCAGGAGAAGTAGAATCCAGGAAGAAGTGGAGATCTTTACGGACCAACCGTACTATAAAGTTGTGCAATTCCTGCAGTTACTTCTATCTATTCTCAACTCATCACCTAGATCCAGATGTCCAGACACCCTCCCAGCACACCTGTGAGCAGAAGCATCTCTGCTTAGGGGTTGAGAGAGGAGCTTGTTCCCCAGCTGAGCTCTTGGGATGTACTGACTGTCCTTGCTGCGATCACTAGGCCTTCCCTTCTCTCTCGGTTCCTAGGTCTCTCCACCCCAAAGGATCTCAAGCTCCTGGGTGCTTAGAGATCCCTCCGTGGCTGGCCCTGTCGGCCCTTTCCTTGGCCCTTCAAAGCCAGAGGGTGAATTGGCTACTTTCTCTATCTGAAAGGAAGGATGCCCAAGATGAAAACCATAAGGAGTCAGGGGTGCCTCTTCCCTGCCAGCTGACGACTCTGCTACTGGGCCTGGGCACAGTGTGCTGGGTGAAGCCCCTTGCAGAGATGCTCTTTCTCCAGCTCAGGGTTTGTGGGTGATGAGAGAACTGTACCCCTCTCCACCTCCAATATTCATGAACCAATTGAGAATTCCCAATTTAGGGAACCTAGGGGCTAGGGTCTATGTATGGGTTGTTTTTGCTGTCCGTTGTTTGTGTGTGGTTTTCCGTCTCCAACTCCACACACATTCACACTCATCACGGTCGTCTACGCGGCCAGACGGCCAGACGTGTGATTTCAACCCGTGCTCTGCCACGCCAACCTCCTCCTACCCCATACCTAGATCAAGACTGTGTGAAATGGGGAGGGGAAGCAAGAGGACTGGGGTCCCTGCCGCAGCCAGCGCGACCGGCACGTTCTTCACTCCCTTTGCCTTTGCTCTTTCTTTCCATCTCAGTTCCAGTGAGGGGTGTGAGTGTGTGTGCGCGCGCGTTGGGGGACTAGGGGCGGGCGCTGGGGGGAGGCGCCGTCGGAGTGAGAGTAGACGTCAGGAGGAGGGAGGGCGGAGGGAGGGAAGGAAGAGAAGGGGAGAGAAAGGGAGAGCAAGACCCAAAGAGATAAAGCTTGAGACTAGAAATAATAAAAAGGAGGGGGCGGAGGGAAGGAAGAGGGAAAGGAGAAAGAGGGAGAGAAGGTGCAGGGGTGGGGGCTGAGGGAGACAGACAGAGAGAAGGGACGACAGAGAGGAAAGAGAGATAAAGAGCTGAAGGAAGGGAAGTGAGTTTGTGCGCGCGAGTGTGTGCGTGTGCGTGAGTGTGTGCAGGGGCGGGCGCGGGCGGGCGGGGGGCGGGCTCCGGGCTCCCCTCCTCCCCAGCCCGCTGCTCGCGCTCCCTCGCCAACTCCGGGCCCCAGCCGCGGGCGGCGCACGGCGGGCGGACAGCATGCTGAGCCTCCTCGTCTGGATCCTCACTCTCTCCGATACTTTCTCCCAAGGTAAGGGCCCCCAGCCTGCCCCGGACTCGCTCCCACCCCGGGGACCCAGGGACTGTACCCCGACGGGGGCGCGCTGGGGTGCCCAGCGGCCCGCGGCCACCCCCGGGGTCCAGGCGCCACGAGGCTGGGGTTGGGTCCCGGCTCGGAGCCCGGGGGCGGGGGACGCAGAGTGACGGTGGTGGCGAAAATGAGTTTTCCGTTGATTTGCCCAAGTTGTTTCCTCTGGCTGCGCGGGAGAAAGGAGAATTGGGGCCGGGAGAGCGGGGGTCGGAGTGAAAAAGGGACCCGACCGCTCCAAGTCCTTTCCGGATCCTCTGGCTGCCTGTCCACCTCCACCCTGGAGGCCGGGAGTCCGGACGCCTGGGTCTTGGCGAATTGGGGTCTAGGAAGAGGGTGGGACTAAGATTTGGGGGGTGGGAGGCGCGCGGAAAACTGGGGACCCAGCGTGCGGCAGACATCGCTAAGGGAATCCCTGTACTCCAGCCCGGCTCTTAGGGGCTCTGAGTCTGGGCCAGGGCTCCAGAATGCCTGCCCTGCCCCCCCACCCCGCCAGGAAGGGAGGGGCGCCTCTGGGGCCCTGGTGAGGAATTGGAACCCCTACCCTAGGAGGCGCCGGGTGGGTAATGGAGTTGCAAAGGCAGCTTCAGACATGCTTCATGTGGAGGGGAGCACTTGGTGTGTGTGTTTGGGGGGGGGCGGTGATAACACCCCATTGGGATCTGAAAAGTGTTGCTATCTGGGGCTCATTTGAAACTGCCAGAGAGAGGCAGAGAAAGAGGATATTAAGTGTGCCTGAGGTAGAGCTGGAGAGGGGGGAGGGGAACGAGTTTGTGGAGGGGGACTGAGAAAATCGGGGTCTCGGACTCCAGCTAGGACTGGGGTCTGTGGAAGTGGACTCTTGCCTCCTGGGTTTGACTCTAAGGAAAAATTAATCTTCCTGAGCTAGCCCCTCCTCCCCTATCCTCCAAATGGAGCTGACACAGAGAAATTGACACACAAACACCAAAAGGCAGAGGTAGACACAGAGACAGACTACTCACCTACTGAGACAGACATCCCCACAAGCATCCTGCGCAGAGACACATATACACAAAGACATGGACACAGCCGAGCAAGACGGATTCCTCCCCCATATCAGCACAATCAGCCAAACACATCCAACCCCACAGACACAGGACATGCATGCAGGCGGGCATTGCAAGGACAGAAGCCACGCGCACACACACACACACACACACACACTCACACTGAAATTCTTCCACAGATACCAACCCTCCAGCGAACAAAGAAACTTAAACTGACATTAATATAGGCAGATACCTATGGAGATGTACAGAAGACAAAATGGAGGAGGTGGTCTCATTTTGGGATGGGGGAAATATGGGAAGAGGACAGTCAGTTTGATAGAACACCCTCAGGTATCCCCTGATTGGGTTCCGTTCCTGGGTTTGTGGGTGTGTGTGTAGGGAGTGAGGTACTTTGCTGAAGCCCTCCTCTCCTGACCAGGCCCCTCCCCAGTTCTTGAGGTAAAGTCTGGCTGAGTCGTGGGAGCTTGTCTTGATCCACCTTTCCCCATGGGGTACCCATGCCTCCTGCCCCTTCACCCCCATATCCGGGAAAGGCGCGTATTGGTGGTGTAAGTGGAAAGCAGGGTTGGGGGAAAGGAGGACTGGTAATGGCGTTGGCAGGCCAAGCCAGCCACTTGGCAGAAAGTTGGGAAGATGACTTAAGTTCTGACTTTGTTCAGCCAGGCTGCTGGAGAGGAGAGGAGGAGGCCCATGGGTGTGGGGGTTGGGGGGGGTGAGGGATAGGGGGAGGAGGCAGCTGGGTCCTACTGGTATGTGTAGAGAGCAGGCTAAGTCTGCCCCTTTCCCACAGCCCTACATGTTAGCAACATGGATACCAATGAGCTTCTAGGAACAAAAGCAGCAGTTAGCAAACAGGGGAGACATGTGGATTGAATAGGACAGAAAGAGCAAAATGTGTTGTCTTCCTTTCTCTCTTTGGAAAAGGGGAGGAGTCGAGGATTAACTGAGCCCCCTCTCTCTGCCTCCATTGAAAGCAAGACCTGAAGAAAGTGTACAAAAGTATGGGGGGGTGGGGAGGAGGTTACAAAGAATAGAAAGGGAAAGTAGACAGCAGGTAGAGGAGGTCACATTTGAGTGTTCCAGGGAAGCTAAGCCAGGAGGAGGCGGGGAGGGGAGGTGGGGAGGAGATGGGTTTGGGGAGTCAGCGATACTATTGGGGTGTGGGCCTGGTATAAGATCACCTCTCCTTAGGCTCCTCCCATAGGAAAAAGGAGTTCTCACTCAGAGCCTGGGGCAGGGAGAAACAAGGAAACTGGGGGGATTGCCAGGGACTTGAAGGGCAATGTTGGGGGGGGGAGTGGGGAGAAGGCAGTTGACTTGAGGGGACCAGTGAGGAGAGGAAAACGGGAGATTCAGCCTAGGCAGAGAAATAAAAATCGCATTTTAAAGAATTTCAATGGGCTTCATCAATCTTCATTTTTCACTAAATAATTTTCTGTATCTTATCTAAATGAAAACCATTATCCTTCCCCCGTTTCCATCATGCGCCGGCTCCTCAGACTGATTGCGCTGAAAATTGAAATATTTATTCATTTTCTGGGAGATTTTCTCGTTCCCCAGTCTTGGAGAGGAGAAATTGAAAAAGAAAGATTATAGCTAATCAGAGCAATGTGGGATGACAGGCCAGCCCCTGCAAGAGCTGCCTGGGGGTGGGGGAGGGGCCAGGGGGGTAGGGGCAGGGGAAAAGGGTCCCTGCAGCCCCCAGCATCCTTGCCACTGCTTGGGGGGGAGGGGGGGCAGTGGAGAGTAAAGGGGAGAGGCCGGAGGGCCTCCTAAATACCCAGCACTCAACTGCCTGACACAGCTACACCCTGACAGAACATGAGTCTGGTAAGAAGAGAAGTTGGGAACCAGCTGTCCCCCTGCGGCCACACACGCTTCAGTGGCCCCACTTCTGCCCCTGGCCCAGAGTGGCCTTCAGGTAGGGAAGAGGCGAGGGAGACATGGCAGAAACCAGGACTTCTTTTTGACCTTGATTGGACTCCACCTTCTACTCAGACTAAACAGGAGGGATAATCCCAGGGCTAGGTTACCTGCAGTACCTCTTGCTAAGCCCTGGACCCCAGAGAACCCCAGGTCAGCAGAAGGGGGCTTCCAGGCCTTCCTGCGTTCTGCTGGTTGCCTCCGCCACATGCTGGCCACCTAGCTCTGCCTCTGGCCCTCCCAAGAGGTGCAGACAGGGGAGCCTGGCCTGCGGTGGTCTAGGCTCTCCCCTCTTGAGATCTGCAGGCCCTCTGGAAGCCCTTCGAGGTTCTCTTTATATCCATGGGGGCCACATCTCAGTTTATGTGTTGTCCTTCAGTTCCTGATGGCGCTAAGCACACAGTAAGTGCCCTTAAATATCTGAACACGGACTGACTTAAGGAGAGTGCCACCACATTGGAAGGAGCAGGCAGTATGAAATTGGTGAATAACTCACAGGCTCCCATCCTGGCGCGACCCCTCTCCGGACTCTCGGTAGTCCTGTCTGCCTGAACGAGGCATGTATGTGCCTTCTCTGTGCCTCAGTGTGCTCATCTGTAAAGTGGGGATGGAAATAATACCTCCCAGGGTTGCAGCACCAATTTGAGGTTAGTGAAGTAGTGGGACAGCGTCTGGCACAGAGGCAGATGCCCAGTGAATGAGACCCCTCTGCTTGAAGGCTGGACCTCCGCGCAGGTGGTCAGTGCTGCGCCCCTGTGTGACCCTCTGTGTCCTCGCTCCAGCTGCCCAGGTTCCCAGTCCTAATGTTCGCAGCTCTCATGGAGAGAACTGGGTTATAGTGGACCCTGAAGGGGGATGTGAGATGGGAGAGAGGAAGAGGTGGGGCTCTAGTGGGGAGCCAGCTCTCTGGTGAGAAGTGAGGTGTGACACCAGCACTGGGTGGTGACATTTCAGAGGCTGAGAGTACATGGGTCATTTATGGAGCTCTTGCTGACTACTCTATATGCATTATCTAATTTAGTCTATTCAACAACCCCCCTGGGATGAGCTCAGTAATGATTCCCATTTCATGGGTGGGAAGTTGAGGCTTAGACAGGTTAAGTAGCTTGTTGGTAGGTGGAGGAACCGGCTGACCCCCAAGCCTGCCCCTTTGCTTAGAGCTGGCTGCACAGCAGGGCCAGTGCTGGGCTCGGATGGGACTCCTACTGGCCCACAGTAGATTGAAAACCAGGAGAAAAGAGGGTGAGTGTCTCCAAAAGGAAGTTTGTACACGTTAAAAACTCTCATATTCTGAAATCTTGTCTTACTTTTTTTGGTGTTGAATGGTTTTACTTTGATGGTAAGACAGTGAAAGTAAATGACTTTTTTTTAAGGACTAACTTGGCAAATAAAAAGGTTTGCAGTTTTGTCTTTGTTTCTGCTGTTAAACACAGCTCTATGGTCTGTGAACTGTACATTTAGGAACTCTCCCTGCTGTGTGTCGGGTTGACTTCCGGAGAGGTCTGGAGTTACACAGAGTCAAGGGTGCAGCCCAAGGAGGCCCTGGAGAGCAGCCTAGGCCTGCAGGCTTCCAGCCAGCACTGCCCAGCAGAGCCCAGGCTGGGGTCTCAGATGCCCTACTGCAGTCTGGCCCAGGGTGGGTGAAAGTGATTTAGGAGGTGGCTCTGTGCCAAAGCATTGAAATTACTTTATATTGAATTCCTACTGTGTGCTTTTTATATTCCTTATGACAACCTTGTGAAGTTAATGTTACTCCATTTTATAGTTGAGGAAATCAAAGCTTAGTTGGATGAATTTGCTCAAGGTTAGCCATGCAGTGTAGAAACCCAGATTTTGACTCTCTGGCTCACTGCAAGGCCCACTCCGGCCGGGCAGCCTCTTAATCAGTCCCCGCCCCCCACAGGGGAGCAGGCCATCTTTTTGTCCTCACAGTGGCTCAGCCTTCCTCCCCAGGGCTCAGCCCCAGTGCCCAGCCCACACCCATCTCCC